TTGTAACTGTAAAGGATGGTTGGAATGTACAATATAATGAAAAATGCCTCTTGGTATTTTTCAGTCTCTGCAGAGACATGGACATTGACACACGGGTCCACGCAAAGCTCTCCGGCTAAACAGAAGCCTCTCGTGATCCAACCAGACACACGCAATATCATTTCTGGGGAGACGGTTAAGTTTGTCTGCCCGTTGATCCTCAAGCCAGAGTCTCCAGCCCCTAAACCGGACCATTCAGAGAAGCCCGTTGAAACCGAGCCTCAGCAGGTCTGCGTCAGCACCGCCAAGGGCACCGCCTACAGTCCGTCCCCGTCTGATGGGGCGGTGACTCCTGCTCCGGTTGCGGTTTGGGAACGGATCCACACGCCAAAGGAGACGAAGACCAACCTCCACATGAAACGGAAACTGACTTCTCCCGACCAAAAGCTGACGCGTCCCTGTGCGGTGCAGCTGGTGGACGTGCTCACAGTGCCTGAGTCAGAGATGAGGCTTCAGGACTGTGCTGCTAAGGGTCCTGGTTGGCCTCTGCCCAAAGACCTCCGGCGCCACCAAGGTCTTCACACTGGCCACCGCCTCTGCTGCTTCACCCCCTGTGACAATGGCGTCTGGCGGCTTCAGAAGGTGGTCGCCCACTCCCGCGAAGGATACCCGTGCAGCATCTGCGGGAAGACGTTCAAGCGGAGGAAGATTCTCCGGCGGCACGAGCGCTTTCACACTGGAGAAAGACCGTACCCGTGCTCGTCGTGCTCCAAGTCGTTCGCGCTGAGGAAGAGCCTCCGCCGCCACCTGAGGTTCCACACGGGCCAGAGGCCGCACACCTGCACGAAGTGCGGCAAGAGCTTCCGTCTGCGGGAAAATCTGAAAGCACACCTGAGGTTCCACACTGGGGAGAAGCCTTTCAACTGCGCCACTTGTGGCAAGATGTTCAGGATCACAAGGAATCTGGAGAAACACAAAGAGAGCCCGTGTGGATTCTTTGTTCCTTCATTCAGGACAATCGCGGGCTTGTAGCAGTGGAATAACAGTCGCCGGTGGATGGTTGTGGTGGTTGCACGACTTTCTACCTCAGACTGAAAACACTGTATTGCTGTCATGACTTTCATGTAACATTACGATTCTTTTTTTGAAGTTATAGCTATGAAAGAAAAAGAGACCCTGATCCAGATTGATTCCAGAAAAGTTCTATTTTAATGACCAATAAGAGGGGATTTTGTGTGATGGGGGCTTTTTTTTGGAAGCTTATACTACTGATGGTCTTATTTTTCATAGTTTATTATTCCTTGCCATGTGTTTGCCTCTTGTGATTGTGGACCAATGTTTGCGGAACAGTGTGCAAGGGTTGTTCAACTACTTGACCCCTTTTTTTGCATTCGGCCTTCTGAGAAACAAATTCTGCAAAAAATTCCCTCCACCGAACAGCAGGTTTACCACAGATGTGCTCAAGTACCGGTTGGGACAGTTTGGTTGGGCAACATAAAAGTCCTCACCTGCCAACCCTTCTGTGTCATGTTTTTTTTTTATGCCTTTAGTCTTTTTATGTTATGCCTTTTTGACTTTACACCCACGCCTCTTTTAAAAAAGCGTTTGTCTTTGTATTCATGCTATGGTTACTGAACGTATGTAGACTTCTTTCCTTTCATAACCGAGATGTCAAAGACAGTGGTTGTAATGTTAAAACCCTTTGGAATGACACACATACACATATGGCCAAACAAATTTCATCTTGTGTACTCTTTTTTTTTTTTTTTTTACTGTTTTTTTTTAAAGGTTTTTATATTCCTGAATACATGTCTCCTATCAAATTGTAAAACTTATTTTACTAGATAACGGTTTCTCATGTATTATTAAAAAATATTTTTTTGTGGCACATAGATAGTTATTTTGTTTCCTCAACGTACCACAATCGGTATGGAGGAAAGGTACAACCTTCTAATAAACCACCCTTTATAAGAGGTTTTTATGTCGTCACTAATGGCTGATTGAAAAGATATATTTTTGTTATCGGTTAAAAACACTTTTAGACTAGTGGTTAAGTCACTAGACATTAGCTAGTATGTTATTTTCATGAAAAGACTAATGTAATATGGTGGGAGAAGTACTTAGATATGTTACTAGGTAGTAAAAATAGCAAAACACTGTAAAAGTATTTCATTTAGAATCTTACTTTAAAGTACAAAAGGAAAAGTCTACTCATGTTACAGCTGTAAAAGGCAGGGCTGATTTTAACTACTTTATATTCTGCCTGGAAGCCTTAGTTTGTGTTTTTATATCAGAATGTGTTAAGTGATTTATACTTAATATTGATAGTCTAAATCTGCAAAAGTAACTAGCGACTCATGTGGTTAAAAAAATGTTGTGGAGCAAAATACTGGCTTTCAAAATGTAGTGGATTACTATAATAAGGTAGTATAACTATATATATAAAAAAAGCTACAATTGTACTTAAGTACAATACTTCAGTAAATGTATTTATTTACATTCCACCACCACTAAGAATAAGTACATTTTCGATGTGTGATGTGGGGTTTGTGCCACCAGGGTTCCCATCATGCTTTGGGTGATGTAAACAGGAAGTGTAATGTTGCTCTGAAGTTAGTCCAGTCAGTTAACTCCAGGTTACAGGAAAACATGACTGAATAATGCGATGATTGATACAGGATATAATGTGTAATATATGCCTTTACGCGTTTTTCACTTAATATTTATATTTTGGTGAATTTACGGCATGAAAAGTCATGCTACATTAGCTATTAGCAGGTTTGTTTTGTTTGCATGGGAGAAACTGAAGGAATACTATAAGTAAAGTCAATTATTAAAGTCATTATATGCGACTTTCTAAGAAAGTATTTAGCTGTGACTAGCTGGTTCTCAAAGTTATATAGACAAATGGTTTCATGATATTATTCACGGTTTAAAGTAAACAGTTGTAGTAAGGCGACCAACTTGTAGGCCCCGCCCACCAGGAAGTACGCATATAAACTCAGCAGCGCTTTCAGTTTCAGCAATGTGTGTACGGAAGACAGCAGACTAGTAACACTGAGGACGCGAGCTGTTTGTCAGCCTTAACTTTTAAACTGATCACCTCCCAGTATCATGTGCTGAGGCTCGTTGGTCATAACCAACGAGCCCGCAGTGTTGAAGGCAGCAGCTAAGTGCTGGACAAACTCCGCAGTTAACTCCTTCCTGACTGCTCTTTTGGCGCACAGTGGTACTCAAAAGAACGGGTGAAGAATGGAAGATGCGGAGAAAAGCAAGCTTGAGGAGTTGCTGATGTGCCCAGTGTGCCAGGACATCTTTAGAGATCCCCGGCAGCTGCCCTGTGGACACAGCATGTGTTTGGTCTGTCTGGAAACCGTGATGGATCACTCCTCCGACGTTCCCTTCCGGTGTCCAGACTGTAGGGCAGATTTTGGACCGATCTTTGGGGTGTACAAGAGCTTCGCACTGGCCAACATCGTAGAGGACTTCCGGATATACAGGAAGAGGAGGGTATCCGCTATAATCACTTTTGTTCAACTACAATATCAAAACACATAGAGAATATTTAAATAGTTGTTGGATGACATCTCAATATCTGATTTATTTTTTGTGTGAGCAGGAAGAGCAGACAAAAAGTGTGTACTGCGACTTCTGCCTGGAGAAAGAAACTCTGGCCATCAAAACGTGCCTGAAGTGCGAGGTGTCGCTGTGCACGGAGCACGTCAAGGACCACCTGGAGCTGCCGGTGTTCACGGGGCACCCTTTGGTGAGGCCTCTGAGTGACCTCCTGGAGAGGAGATGCCCACAGCACGAGGACGAGGTGCTGAGGTACTACTGCAACACGTCCAGGCGCTACCTCTGCAACATTTGCGCCCTGGAGGGCAAGCAGCACAACCTGGCCATCGAGACCTCCGTCCTGCGGAGACAGCTGACTGTGAGTTTTGAATAACACACTTTTACGCACAGGAAATTAAAAAAATCATGGCATCTTTATGTTAATAAGAAAACATCATGTTTCACAGAGGAAGTTTGAGGTAGCAACAGTTTCTACTAAACGGAGTGAGATTTTACACACTCATTTAGGAAATTCCTGTTGCTGCAGTGTGGAGAAACCCGATTTTGCGGTTTTTCTGCTCGCTGACAATCTGAAAGTGTGACTTTCAAACAGCTAAATAATATGATGCTGTCAGATGGTCGAGAATTATTTTTTCAACATAAAGCTACTTTTAGGGAGAATATAAATTGGATGTTAACTGGATGTTCAAAGTTGAGCTGTGTATGTATTCAACAGGAGTACATGGACCAACGCTTCGACAAGCTGAAGGAGCAAGTTGGAGAGTCCAATGAGTCGATAAAAAAACTGCAGGAAGACTTCAAACGTGAAGTAAGCTTTGTTTACTTAATTGTCAATATCTGTGATTTTTTTTTTTTAAGGGTTTGCATTTGGTTTCAACACTTTTCTGCTGTAATCTGTATTTTTCTTCCTTTACAGAAGCGGAGAGCGAACCCCGTCGTCTCGTCCCTCAACAATGTCACGATGGTGCTTCTCTGTCTGTGGGTCGTTGTCGTGTGTTACGGTAAGATGATGCCAAGCCATAGTATTGAGTCTGTCCTGTCTGTGTGAACATGCACTCACTGTTGTTGTGTCTTTTGTTCCCCTCCACCCACCAGCGTACAACTACATTGTGCAAATCCAGACGATCACCAACACGCTGGAAGAACAGCAGAACCATGTGAATCAGATTTATACCACCATTGTGGGTAAGAAGGAAGGCTTCACACACCCACTGCTGCCTGCTTACACGACAACCGCAGACATCAGGGAACGAGGACACATAAATATAAATACATGTGACATTTGTTAGGGGCAATGTGGGTGTTAAAGGGATATAGGTCAACATTTTGGGAAACACGTTTAGTTTAGTTAAAAAGAACAATACCGTTCTCACAGTTGTCCGTTAAATATGAAGCTACTGCCAGCAGATCTTAGCTTAGCATGAAGACTGTCAGCAGGGGCGGAGTCTGGTTCTGGCTGAGGGTGACAAAACCCACCAACACATGTTAATCTCACAAATGAACATATTGTTTGATTAAAAACCAAAGTGTGGAACATCAAGTTGTGGTTTCACAGGTTTTTTGTGTTTTTTTTTTTTTTTTTTATTATTATGAGTTGGGCTGTGAGTTTTCATTATGAGTTGGGCTGTTTTTTTGATCAGGCACAGTGACTTCCTGGAGTCTTTGCTTGTTGCCATGCTAATCGGTTCCCATGCTTTCAGTTTTAATGCTATGCTATGCTAAGCGAAGCTAACCAGCTGCTGGATTTAGCTAAATATTTAAAGTATTGTACACTACATGACGGTAGCATTCTCTTACACGTGGCAAGATTGCATGTAAGTGTAATGGTTGAGTTCCAAACGTGTCGAACTATTCCTTGTAACAGGCTGATGGTCGTACATATGGAAGAAGTTCTCCATCTGACTAAATCACAAACATACAAATACGTCTTTGACAGGAGTTGAAGTCCACTATTGTCTGATCTGATTCTCCAACCTTCTGAGGACCTCAGCCAACTTGAATAATCTTTCCTTTTTCTTCATCCCTACATAGAACTCTTGGTTAATCATCCAATAAAGAGCCACAAACCTCCAGAGACTGAAGATCAAGGTACAAAATACAATCTTTTAAAACTCTTTGGAATGGCAATCTTTAGTTAAAGGCATTCCAGAGAGAACTACGTGTTTGTGTTGGCGTAAACTGACCAGCCTGATGAAGATGCTATCAGAACATGTGCCTTGTACTGTCGGTGTGATGCGGACGAGGTAGAAAGTCATTATTTTCATTAAAGAGGGATAAGAAGACAACGAGTGTGTTTACAGGCACATCATTAGCACGAGCATACTCGTGGTTATTCCCATCACTGTTGTCATTATTCTGATATCCAGGTTTCTGATCATCTGCATCGCTTCTGTAACAACTAAGTTCCCTCAATAGTTGAGGCTGATGTCCGTCGGGTTTCTGGCTACCTGGACTCTGCTGCATTTACTTCTGTTTTTAATTTCATCCAATCTTCATTAATGAGAGCAACAATAAAAGGATTATTTTCATCACTATTGTTAGACTTATTTCAGCATGAACATGTTTCTTTTGCTTTACCGACTGTTTGTTACATAACTTGGTTTGAGGACGCACCTCGAGAATGATCAGAGTCCCGGAGGAAGTGTTCACACTGCCAAAGCATCTCAGTTTCCATCCGAGTATTCCAGCTTTCTACAAACCAGAATATGGTGTTTACAAGCGCACTCCAATAATCGGATCATAACATGGATACTAGTGTGCATAGGTTTGATTGTTATGATGCCCAAAGCATTCTGAAAATGCACTGAAAATATGCGATTTTAAGACTATGTAACATTTGCTGAACTGCAGAACAGGTGACAATTATAGGATAATATGACAAAAGTAAAATGCATCTCTGGCTGAATAATATTAACTACGGTGCAATAACAATTTAAATTTAGCCACTATAAGCTACTGGTCGCACCTAACCAAGCCAGGTAGCAGCAAAACCCCCGAGTGTATTAAATTGATAATACTGCTGCTATTATTTTAAGTTTTCATTTGTATGCAAATGTTATTTCTCCTTTCAGATTCATAGACGTGTTTGACATTATGGCAAAACTTTTAGTTCATAATCTGTTTATATTGTCATTTCATTTTTTGATTGTTATAAACTAGAATTCGGGTAGCATCAGAATTGTGTAGGTAAACCCAAATGGTCAAATCGGGGAGTATAAAGTTTAAATAAATACCCACAATGGTACACGATATTTTTGAACATCTTCCAGGCTCTTTCCTCACAAGATGAGAGTTAATTTCAAATAATCTATTTACTCATTTTTGTCAAAACAGCTTCAATGACAAAGTGAAATGTTTGACTAAATCTGTAATATAATCTGCTTCCATTCCTCTGATGTCATGTGTTGTTATGTTCCATCATTCTTTAATCCGTATTGTTTCTGAGTAAATGTAATATTCCAGGCCAAACACCCATGTGCCGTCCTTTGTTTACCTTTTTTATGGTTCCACTGGTAAAGTTTTACGTCGCATTGCTATGAATTGTGGGTAATTCCCTTGGGCAAAGTCTGCAGAAATGCAGACTCACGGAAAGTGTTCATAAAGGGCTCAAGATGTGAAGATGAGACAGAGGGACAGACCTAAACCCTCACAGACTTTGAGGCGCGCTCCTGAACAGTGTGTGAGTGTGGAGATTGGGATTGGGCCGAAGACTTTTTGAGACTTTTTCAACACTGTATACTATGACTTTTTTCAACTTATTATACTATGACCGTTTGACTATTCATCATTCTTTTGACACACTATAGTATGACTTTTGTTTTTCGACACAACAGAGAAAGAAGGATGGGATTGTGGAACAGAAACATTCACATTTTAATCTTTTCTTGTTGCAGACATGACATCCTCTGAGTACAATCATACAAAATGGATCAAGTGATCCGTCCTCAGTTCTGGTCCTGAACGGAAAGCTCTGCACTCATCTGGTGAGAAAAGAAGAAACGGACACAAACAGTAGAATTTACATCACATTTACAAACCTCTGTGCCTACTACCACAACAAGTATGAAATAAAGCTACTGCAAAAACAACAGTCTTTGTTAAGGTTGGGATATCTGAATGCAAATTTTATATATACTATAACTTTCACGACTTTGTTCTGACTTTTTTCGACATGCTATATTATGACTTTCTGTCGTATGACTACTTTTTACTTGCGCTTTTTCATCACTTCATGCAACATACTATATAATTACTTTTTTCATCATACTATGACTTTTTACACTTGATTTGACATACTACTATATTATTACTTTTATATGACTTTGTTAAACATACTATTCCTTGACCTTTTTTGTCATACTATACCATGGCTTTTTATGTTTTTGGACATTCTATATTTTATTTTTTAGATAAACTATATGACATTTTTTCTGACTCTTTTCGACATAATTTTTCTAAGATTTTGTTGGTGATGTTTTTCGACGCTTTACTATGACTTTTTTATAACTTTTTTTCAAGAGTTTGAGATTAAACCCAGATACTGCCCTGGGAAATACCGACATGGTGACCGGAGCCTATCTCACCGGCCAGGGGGGGACAGAGGCTCAGCTGAGATGGAAGTTGACTCAATCATCATGGTGCAGTGAGAGACTACAGGTGATTCAAAGAGCCATGGAGCTAGATGCAGAACTACAAGTCTCAAAACATACACGGAACAGTGCAGTGCAAAGGAGTAAAGCAGCGTAAGGAGACTCTGAGACCATATGAAACACCAAAGTTGCCTTGCAGAAGATAAAGAGCTGAGGGGTGCAGGTCATTAGACTCCAGACACAAAAAACATCTCACCAGGATACCCGTAGAGCAATGGAATAGAGGAAGCAGCAGTGAATGCAGCCAAAAGGCTGATGGCAAAAAGCTAAATGAGCAGGCAACGACCCGTATTTGGTCCTGCTGGACCACAGGAACACTCCACTGCAGAGTACTGACAGCAGCAATGATGCTCATGGGGAGGCGAACCCAAACTCTCTGCTTACTGTAAACCGAGACCAACAGCAAGCAAACAGAATGAAGCTGCACTACAAAGTCAAAGGAGATGAGATAATCACTACAATGCTACTGCCAAGGACTTCAGCTGCATAGAGGAGTAATTGGGGACAAATCAGGATGACCAAAGAGATAGATGATAGCTTGAAAGCAGTGGATGGAGCTACTTCTGAGCAGCTTGGTGAATCAGAACCAACATAAGATGGACAGAACATCATTCATTTCTGATGTATTTTTCTTTTTTTTTGGTTACAACAATCATCAAAATGATGGACAGGTAGTTACTTTAGTTAACATTACATGGCAACAGGAAGGTGGCTTAAAACAGTCCGTAGCGTTCTTTAAGTTGTGTTGCAGAGGCAATTTATTTGCTCAGGCTGCTTGTCATCAAACTTGACCATTAATGGACAAATATTCTCACGTAATTCACTTGCTGATCAAATGAACTTGTAACTTTGGCCTCTAAACATGACAAAACAGACGTTCATGTTCGCTACAAGAAAGAAAGCTTGACGTAACCTCGAGTTTCAATGGACACTCACCACTCATTCTTGTCCTGTTCAGCACCTGTACTGAGGTGCAACATCCAAATTACACAAAACAGAGTACATTGTGATGTTAGACACATTTTGTACATTTGAAAGTTATTTATGGTTTTATTGTATTTATTTAATCCAAGAACAAAATTGAGACCATCATAAAAACAAATTCAGTTTCAATGGTACCCTGGTAAAAAAAAAAAAACATTCCAGCTTCTCCACTCTAGTTTCAGAAATAAAGGAATTGAAAACAATCGGAATCTATGTAACTTTTGTTGAACACCAGCCATTTTGGCCACAAGTGCCAAGTACGGGCCAATGGAAAATGGCAACGTGTAGCTTTGCAGTAACATAGGTAGGGAGGAATCACATAACAGCAAACTGACTAACATTTCGTTACACATCAGCATCTATATAAAGGTTGCCAACTTTAGCCACCATAAGCTACTGGTCGTACCAGATGAAGTCAGGCTGTAGCAGTGCATTCAACTGAGCCATTAGCTACAAGTCAGTCCTGCTTTAAGAAACATAGCAAAAAGAGAAAGGAATGGATTGAGCAAATCTGCTCATTTATTAAGAAAACATGAAAGTCAAGCTTTTATTTTTTTAACAGTTATCTGAACAGAATGCTTTACAAAAAATGAAGGCAATAATAAACCCAAAAGGCCACTATTCTCAGTACAAAAACAAGGAATAGCGTGGTACTAATTGTTTCCCCACTCAAACATATTTCAGCCGTAGTTAGGAATCAGAACTGTTTTGCTTTCTTAGACGTGAAACACCAAAACATTGCAGAGCATGAATTTCAAATCAGTGAATAGGTCCGCTGATGCCGTGACCCATGTACAGTACCGTACCATCATGTCACAAACTGCTGTAAAAATGTTCTTTGAAAGAGCATTTTGAGAAACAAACTTCCAATTTACAGTAAACAAGTATAACTGACCTAAAATAAAGAATACCTTTTTGCTGATCAACTATTATACTTCTTTGTGCTGATTTTTTTTCCTCTAGCTGCCTTGAGTCCCTTGACTAAAACCTGTACACATAACACAAAATGATCATCCTTATATTAGTGTGCCAAAAATAGTAACATGGAATCGCTGGAAAACAAGTGTTCTGTTGATGTGATTGGCCGCCGCTCCTTAATTCACCAGACCCAGGGTCTGATTCCTGAACGAGCACCACGCCCTGAATATAGCTCTGAAAAAAAAGAAAACGGAAAATATAAAGTTCAGAAACGTTCTTTAATTTCTGCTGGAGACTAAATGTAACCCAGTGCCTGGTTCAGAACCTCTACGCACCTGCAGTGAGTGGCCACACATTCGTTGCTGCAGTATTCTTTGTCCCAGTCGTCGCTCTCTACGGCCGGGTTGTTACAGCCCGGCCTCACACACGCACTTCTCATCGTCCCGGCATCACCGGACCCATTCACCTCCATCTCTTCCTGGAAAGAAAAGCAGGAAATTTAAAATCAATGAATGTAAATAAGATTTTTTGCCACAGTCAACAGATAGAAAACACTAAATAAAGTGCTAAGTAGAGGCTCTTTTGACAGCTGTGTGATGAGATGTGCACATCTGGAAAGTGCATTCCCCCCCCCCCAATCATCTGTGTGAAACTGCCCAATCCGTGTCAACTTGCATGGGCTGCTGTGTGACCAGCACCTTTTCACTAGCCCAGATGTCATGGGAGTGTTTTCTCTTTAACACTCTGCCATACATTTGGTGAAACAGCAGCATTTGTGTGGACAGCTTTTCTCTTCTCAGCCACTGATTTACAGCTTTGCCATATTCTTTGCATTTTCTAATGACCAGACTCTACTTTGAGATATTTTCCTGCATCCTCCCCCTAATTGGTACTTTTAAATCGTTTCTCTGAATGCCGAGTTTCTTATTTTATCTAGAGGAATCACTCAATACACTTTTCTTGGACACTATAACTTCTGCCATATTCCTAGCTGCTGCTGCTGCTGCTATGGTCTCTCCCCCGTCCTGCCCGTCAAAGCATCGAGTATGCGACGACCCCTCCGCCCCACTAGGTGTCCCCGTGTCCCGTCTTTCTGAATAAAAGCTCATCACCTTCACACGGAGTGCTCGCTCTCCTCCCTGGCTGACACCTCTGCTTCATTACAGCCATTTTCACACATCCACACACAAATACATGACTGATTACTGACTGTACATGTTTGTTCTTAATGTTCTTTAGTAAATAAATATGCTTAATTATAATATTAAAACTCGTCTGGTCTCCCATTTTTGTTGCGGCCTTTGAGCCAGGTCACAACAGGTAATACAGGTAGACTGACATACTGTGTAACCAATCAGAGAGCTAGAATAAGCAGCTACGCTGTGAAGAACGGTAAGTGAGTGAGTAAGGTTGATTGACGGATATTTGTGTCCTGTTCATGTAACAAAGTGGCACTAATCAGCGCAGCGCAGGAATGTCACCACAGACATGGCGTGTTTTTGGCGCTATGTCCACCTTTTCTGTAGCTTCCTCTTGGATGCGTACTTAGATTCTGGCACCGGGTCACTACGTTTTTATAGAGCTCGACGCCCAGAAATGTCTCGAACACAGAAAAATTAAAAGAAAAGAGAAAATGCAGGTAGAGGGGCAGGGTCTCCGATACAGACAGATCTTATACATCCACTGATTCAAAGCTGTAAAACAAAAGAAGATTTATGGCACTATTGTTGCAGTAAGTGGGAGAGATAAAGTTTAACATCTGCTGACTTGTGAGGTAGGAAATGGATTTGAGATTTGACAGTTTTGCATTAAATATTTTGAACCACTTGAATCTGAAAAATAACTTTCACTTCTGACAGTTGGGAATATGTTGCTACGACAACAGCTTTGTGTTGTCCGAGGATAAATTATGAGTCGGCTTTAAAGAACTGAACTATCCAAAGTCAAAATTGTCAACGATCAAATCACAGTTATTTGTGGATAAACAAGGCCTCACACAGAACAAACGGCAGCGATGAGTTAGGAACATGTACCTCTTCTGAGTGCAGCACTTCTGTAACTACGTCGTCGTCCATGCTGCCCGACGTGTCTGCAGAATTCACCACCTGTACCGACACGACGGGTGCAGACTGGGCAGTGGACGACAAGGACATTGTACTAGGGACGATAATTGGCAGGGCCTCTTTGGCCTGCAAGGACGCAGGAACTATCTTTATCTGGAGTGGAGGCATCGGTGTAGCCGCGATGGACACCGGGGGGCCCAGCGTGGTGCTCCCCTCGCGGGGCTTGGCCTGTAAGGGCGGAGGCGCTGGCGCCATTTGCTGGAGCCGCGGCGGAGGCGGTGCGCTCTGCATCTGCTGCAGCGGAGGTGGCTGACGAGAGGCGCCCGACACCACCAGTGTGGGCTGCAAAGAGCGGACCCCTCCGGGCAACACGGTCACCACCTGGCCCCCCAGCTGCAACATGTGCTTTGGGATTATGATCTTTGTGATGGTCGGGGACGGGGGAGCGGGGGCTGCTGGACCGGGGGCTTTGTTTGCCCCCGTGCGGGAACGCGTGGTCATCTCCGGGACGTCCAGGATGATGTTGGAGGCACAAATGTTGGTGATGGTGTTCTCTTCCAGGCTGTTGGTAGGCAGACGGATGGCCTGGTGACCAGCTAATTGAAAGGCTCCAGGATTCAGACTGACCACCGGTGGAGGTGGTGGTGGTGGTGGTGAAGGGGCGGTCTCCATCTCCTCAATGGCAGGCTGTGGTGAAGACGGATTCAAAGAAACATAGAAAAGAAATATGAATGAAAATCTGAAACGGCAATCACCTGCTTTTCATTCAGAGGACAGCATGATCTTACCTGTGTGAGTTGGTTCTCTCTATAAGCTACCAGGGCTCTCACATACTCCCTTTTGGCTGCTTCTGTCTTTCTCTTATACACCTAGTGGAGACAGGACAAGTACCATCATTTTAAATCATTTCTCTCCCCCAATACTGACAGAGGACATTAATATACAAGAATCCTTATACCTGCTTCTGTTCCTCAGCCAGACTGTCCCACATGGAGGCCACAATCTTTGACACCTCCCCAAAAGAGGCGTTGGGGTTCTGGCCCTTAATGGCTGCCTGGGTGTCTCTGAAGAACAACGCATATGCTGAGACGGGCTTCTGTGGTTCGTTTGGGTCTTTCTTCTTCCGTCCTTTCTTAGCGCCCATTGCTGCCGTCACTGAGGCCAGTGAGGCCGGCTTCCCCCCGCCCCTCCTGGCTGTAGCCGGAGACACAGAAGATGTAGGAGCTGGGTGGGAGGACATGTGGGAGAGGGAAGAGGAGAGATACAAGGGGGCGTCTACCAGCACACTCCTCTGAGTAGGGAGAGGAATCGTGAAAGACAGGGGAGAAGAGATATTAGCCGTAGGATCTTAAAACCTAGCACGGAATCCAACAGACATGAATACAAGGCATGCAAGCAAACATTAAGGTAGTAAGTAGGCGTCTACAGGTGTAACCTCTCACCTTGAAGTCATCCATGTCCTCATCCTGCAGGGAGCCAGCCGGTGATGGTGTTGCTGAGAGCGGCTGCTCGAGTGTCTCTGAAGGATGCCCAATGTTGTCACCCCCGAGACCGAGTGCCAGCTCAGACGGGTTAATGGTGCTCAAGTGGCTGCTTCCCAAAAGACCATGACTGATTTCACCAAGTTGGACATCAATGGTCATGGGGGATGAACTGCTGAAATGTGAACCACTGGAATTCCCCAGTTCCTGCGGAGGGATTTGAACACAAAAAATGAATTACTCCCATCAAGGACAACTAACGTTCAAACACACCAAACAGCGTTTCCCAGACACTCACCAGAGCAGAAGAGCTCAGCAGGGCTCCCACTCCAGCTTGGCCCATCGCGCCAAGGTTCAGCTGCTCCAGGCCTTGAGACCCAGAGTTCACAAAGGTGGAAGCAAAGGACGGGTCATTGGCCTCCACCACCAGGTTACTGACAAGGCTACGGGAGCCCGAAGGCCCCCCGGGGCCGCCCGACCCATCCGTCAACTGAAAGTGGGACACTCCATCAGTGATGCTCAGAGTCGGGTCTGGGTCGAGGGAGATAGGGGGGATCTCGAAAACCTCATCCCCGAGACTGGGGGTATGGAACGTCTGCTATATGTGGAGAGAGAGACGGTGGAGACGTGTTACTCTGCACTACCGGTACCACGTTGCTTGACTTAGCGTTAACTCACTCACCTCAGCGGACAAAAACGGGTGGCCCCCTCCACTGATTGTGAGATAACTGTCGCCGCCTTCTGTAAACTGAAACAGACCGTTTTAACTAACTAACGCATTTCCATTCGCCGACATTTTCATTTAAAAACTGGTAATGTCGGGTTACCTTATTTTCCTCCGAGTATTCACCATAGGCTTGAGTGTCCAAAAACTCCGAGTCAACATTTTGAGCACAACCATCCGACAGGTCAGAGTAGAAATTGAGGTCCATTTTGAGATGATTTACTCCAAACACACAAACAACCACGCACGTGTTACACTTAGTCGAAAGGGGTAATTTCTCAATGACCTACCCATTTGGGTCAACTATCTCAATATGAACTAAAGTTGCTAGCGGCTCGCTAGCTAATCTCTGCCACCGGTTAGCATAACGTTATGGTGGAGGAGATGAAGCTAAACTATCTTAGCTTTGAAGCCCGAGGCAGACCTGGGACAAGGGGCGATTTGGGGCTGAAAAAAGTAAAATAATAAGTTATCAAAATGCTATGTATTAGTTCCCCAGGGAGCAAAGCTTGCAGGAGGCCCAAAACAAACCCATTCATACGTGTGATGCTACCGCCATGTCCGAAGCATAGCTAGTGCTACATTCAAGGGCTGTCGGAAATAAATACTTAAGGTACTTAAAGGCCTACCTAATGTATATATGACTGTATGACAGGCCTATTTATTAACTTTCTGCCAGCTATGTGACTCGCTAAGACGTGACGGTGAAGAAACAAATAGCTTTCTAAGTGAACAAAGGTTACACTTTTAGCATTATTTACAACCATGTTTGTAAGCTTAACGTTTTGTTTGGCCAATTAAAACAGCCGGTAAAATGCCAGATTCACTTGTTTCCATTGTCGTTTGAAGTCTAAAATGAAACGGCAGCCACCAGTTGATCTAGCTAACTAACTCTTTATATTTACGACAAGTTTGATTGTTTTCTGTATTCCATCTACGAGCAAAGAAAAGGCCCTGAAGGCAGCACTTCCGACTTCAAACGGAAGTTAAACCAGTCGACTCTGCTCCATGATCTCCTTGCATTTCAAAATAAAAAGTCAAAATAAAAGTCAAGGCGATAGAATGACCGTATGCAAGAAATTATTATAGTCTATGATGCAAGCATATACCAGAGTAACATTAGAAGAAGATAAATTAATGAATATAAAGACATAATCCTTGCTCGATGGGAGTGTGTTAGCAACAGAAGTTGACTACATGCAGTTTATTCTCATTTATCCATGTACACAGCAAGAATCAACTTTTGATTAATCGGTGCATTGTTTGCAATACAGTTCATAATATAGTTTAATAAAAGTCATTTTTGTGTTCACAGAGTTGTTGCTGTTGGACCTGATTTTCTGTTCCTTGAGTGAATGCAGAGCACCGACTGTATAAGGGTAGCAGAGTAAAAGTGTTTACCATTTCTACCAGTAGATGACAGCATAAGTGTATTTAAACTATAGATTTAGTTATATTTACCTGTGTCTTTGTTAATTACTATAGCCTACTATGACTTTTTTCGACATACTCTTTTGGCTGTATATTTTCCCTGCGATGTTGTCCCTTTCTATCCTCCCCAGACAATCTGCATTGCCAATCGAGGTGCACCTGAATTGCAAAGGAAGTTCTTAAAAGCTCCTATGCCAGCAGCTGAAGAGGAAGGCCTCTGGTCTAGGGATTGCTTATCTTGCCTCTCAGTTTACGATTTGACTATGACTTATTCATGACTTCATTCGCGATGCTATACTATGACTTTTATGACTTTATTCACCGCTTTGAATTTTTCTGAATGCTAATAATGAAATACGCCAATGGCCCTCCTCCCACCACACCATCAGTGTGCCTCCACTTACAACGTACAGTATGAGAGAAATGGATGCCACAGTGAAGCCATTTAGTGTGAGTGTGAACATGTGTCTCTAAAAAGCTTGTGAACCATGTCTATTTCATTAAAAATGATCAGCACCCCCGCTCTCCCACCCCCCGCTCTCTCACCCCCCGTCCCTATCTCCAGTGCCTTTCTCTTCAGTGGTCTCTCCCCGGTGTTGGACCGCTGGGACTTGCCTGTCGCAGCGTTTCCCTTCAACATCATCATTGTCCTCTACCTCCTTTGTACCGGCCCAGGCAACCCTTACTTCCCACACCACCCGGCTACGACACCGGGGCTGCCGGAGCACAATGGCACCGAACTCAATGTAGGGGTGAGGTGTTCCAACGTTTAATTAAATGTTTGTGGATAGGTTGAGTTCTACTACACGGAAGCCATGAGGTTGCTGTTCAAAAGCAGACTCTTAAATCATGATTGTCTCTCAGATCTTGAAGCTTGGTAAAACTTCCAAAATCAACACAAGGATTATTTTCCTACTTTTTTTCATAACCCGTGTAAGTCTAGAAAACACACCTAAAAGATTTTACAGTAAGTAATTGTTCTTTTTATACAAGAAACATTTCACTAACAAAGAACACGCTTGTTATGATTGCAAATTAGTTTGAAATAACATAACATACATAACTAAAAACATAATAAATATGAGAACTGAAACAAACGGGAGATAATTGACACAATTATACAGGTAGGCACAGGTTGTTCAATCAGGAGAAACTTAATTTACAGCGAACAAATACATTTATCAAATTGTGCAAAGTAAAGTTAAAATTTTGGAGAGTCGACGCTGGTGGGGGTGTTGAAGACAGTAGGGGCAGGTTGAAGATCTAGATGAGGGGTCTTCAACGTTTTTCAGGCCAAGGACCCCCAAACTGATAGAGAGATGGAGCATTGGTTCGTACTGAAATGACTGCTGACTGCAGAGAAGAGAACAGGTCTTTAAAGTTTGACGGGAAATATATGATTGGCTTAGGGAGACCTTGGCGAAATTAGGAAGTTAGTGTCACGATTAGGCTTTGCCTCCTGTGTGTCTGTGTGTGTGCTTTGAGCGTGGCTCCGCCCTGGTCTCCTCCCGGCTCCCTCCTGATTACATTCATTCAACTCACCTGCCAAGTCCACCCAGCTGCCTTCCATCTACTCATCACCCAACAGTACATCTACCCCGGTTCCCTGTCTCTGGGCCACAGCAACAATCTCAGGCTGGGCACCGGCCGCCCTTTTTGTGGTCTTGCTGGGCCGCAGCAACAATCTCGGGCTGG